ACCTTAAAAATAGAGAGCATGAAAAGTGACAAGGAAAAAGAACAGGGGAAAAGAAAGCACTGACTAACCTCAGCAGCACTGATTTTATCCGGACGAGAAACATAATCCTCCAAGTCTACCTCATCGCTAAGGTTCATCTTAGATGTGCACACCTGTACAAGAAAAACACAACTTAGAACCAGACAAAAATGAAAATCACAATCCAGTCAAATATTAAAAGGAAAAGAAGAACAAGAAAAACAGGTATATGTTTAAGAGGAGAGATGGCCTAGGAAGACCTAATTATCAATCTTCAAAAAGCAGAATGTCATTGCACTCATAATATAAAACTCCAAATGTTTGTTAGGGCACTTGCCTGGAAAACAAGCCTCTTTTGCCGTCTATCAGGCAAGGGGAATTCAATCTTCCGGTCAAGCCTTCCAGGACGAAGAAGTGCAGGGTCCAAAGTGTCTGCTCGATTGGTTGCCATTATTACCTTAACATTGACTGTCTGGTCGAACCCATCCATCTAGAAAAGTTCATCATAGAAACAATAGTTCAGAGAAAAGTGATCAGGATAAGATCAATTTATTTATGAACCTTCCTAAGGCTTTGCAGGAGAATGTCCTCTTTATCACCTATAAACAAAAATTCATGTAATCCCTCACTTTTACCTGATTTAGCAGTTCCATGAGGATTCGCTGAACCTCCCTGTCAGCTCCAGTTTGAGCATCAAACCTGGCAGTTGCAATGGCATCTACTTCATCAATAAAGATAATAGCAGGGGCATTCTCCTTGGCAAGACGGAAAACATCACGAACCATTCGTGGTCCCTGGAATTCAAAAAATGGAAAGGATATTATAATCCAGTCATCCAGAAACCAAACAACCAATTATTGTCCAGGTGAGAATGGGGATCCATGAGATCACAATAACTGTTTCATCATAGATATGTGGTAACTGAAAAACTCTTAAATAAGTTAGCAAATAATGCCAACTTGGTAAAAGAAAAAATAACATCAAATAAACTTCATACCTCACCCAAATACTTTTGAACAAACTCAGACCCAACAACTCTAATAAAAGCTGCAGTGGTATGATTAGCAACAGCCTTTGCAAGCATGGTTTTCCCGGTGCCAGGGGGACCATAAAGTAAAACACCTCGTGGAGGGTCTATTCCAATCTGCTTGTACAACTCATGGTGAGTTAATGGCAATTCCACTGCCTCACGAATTTCCTGCTTTTGAATGTCACATCCTCCAATATCCTAATAAAAAAATTGAAGTCTTAGAAGCACGAAACAACCAATAATAATAATAGTAATAATAATAATCAGTAACAGCAAACGAGATGACCTAAACATAACTGTTCCAGAAAAAACCTACTATACAAGTAATAGACTAGATAGAAGTACTATATCCTGAATCTTGTCGATAAAGGCTAGACCAAGTGAATGGGTAATGGCAAAGAAAAAATCAAGTATTCATTGTCAGTTAATCAAATGAGTGGTTTATTTTGACATTCAACCAAGGAAAGAGGGCAAAGAAAAATCAAACTCACATTGTAAGTAACATCAGGCTTCTCAGACTGGCTAAGAAGAGATATACTTGAATCAGCCTCAGGAGGCAACACATCTACAAGAGCATTAGAATGTCGGTGCAGTGCCACAGATGCAGAAGGCTTTAAGAGCTCACGATTGATGGTGCTCAGAATCCTCACATAGTAATTAGACCCAGTGGTGGAGCCAACAATGCCATTGTTCTGGTCTACCATCTCCATAAATTGGCCAATGACTAGAGGCACAGACTGAATCCGTTTGACCTCCTCCTGGGCCCGTAAGTGCTCACGCTTCAGGTTCTTCTGCTCATCCTTCACATACTTCTCTTGGATGTCAATGAACTCAATCTGGCGCTGTAGTGATTTTAGGCGGCTGTAGAGATCATCCTCTTCAGACGTCAGATCCATGGAATGGGTTGGGTCAAACCTTATGGACGGCAATGGTAGTTCTATGGAGGATTTTGGCTCCAGGATGGCTGCTGAGCCTGCCATAGTTGATGTTCTTCTGTCTTATTTTACTCCTCTTCGAACTGTAGGCTGTAATTAGGATGAAAGCTGATTACTGTTTGTTTGTACTTGTACCTGCATAAATATTGATAGAACAACAAAAGAATCACCCTAGTTTTAAACAAAAGCAATATATTTCCTTATCATCATCAGCCCCACCTAATTTTTCACCGTCAAGTGCACCATATTTAGTGCCCTAAATTCCTATTCCATTGAAATTTGAACTAAAGATCAATCTTTTACAAACACATTACAATTTTTCTGAATTAAAACAAATTATCTTAGGAAGAGAATCTAAAGGGGCAGCAAAAGAATATAGATCAAAGATCATCAAACAACAAAACACAAAACTTAAAGAATGCATGACGAAGAATTTGAGATAAATTAAGCCATGCTTAGTTACCATACAATAAACTTAAGTTACGATTCTTTATTATTTGAAATTCTATCCAACCTAGGATTAGAAGCAGGAAGTCCCCAATTCATCAAATTGATCTCTTTCCACGGCTCACACCGTTTCCAAGATGAGAGCTTGAAAATCCCGACTAATCAATGAACAACCTTTGCTTTACAGCATCGCTTTCCCAATTTTTGCGACTCAAATCCCTCTTTCCTCTTTGTTTTTGCTAAATAAAAATAAG